ATTCATACAACTTTTATTACAGCGTATTATTATAATTGTTCTATTTCATTATTGTTGTTAATCTCTTAGTGTGCTTAATTTATAAATTAAACTTTATCGCAGGTCTGTATGTATAGGAAAAAACCTAGTACATACAGGGTTCGGTACGATATGCAGTTTCAGGCGTGCACTGGGGGTCTTGGAACATATCCCCTGCAGATAAGGGGGGTCGAATGTACTATGAGTTAAGGACTTTCTAGGTGCTTTTTCTATAGGGTTAGCTTTTGACTTTACTCTCAGGGTGCCAACCACTAATTGCTGCCTGTCCCTAATCTGTTTGATGAGCCTACTGTACTATGGGCATAGAAACCAGACATCACATTTTATTAGCCCTTGGAACAAAATAAGACTAAATAGGCTGAGTGAGACTGAGATTCGCTTATAAACATAGCTAAAGAGCTTGGGTTTTGTGGCAGGCTTTGGAAGAAACAATACGACTTTGTTTTTTGGGGTTTATTTGTGATTATCCCTTATATTCCACATTAAGATTTCTGAATTGGGACTCCTCGTATAACTGATTTCTTATCCTGTACACTTCTCTTCCTTTTTAGAGAGTATGAATCAATATAGCATTTTCATTAATCCTGGTGGTCAATGTACTGATTGTCTGCTGCTGACTTAATCTGAAATGTTAGAAGCATTTGTGTTTTTCTGAGTGTGAGACAAAGAAAAAAAAAGTTGATCAAGGTCTGGCCTCGAGAGCTGTGAGCGTGGGCTGGTAGAACCGTGTCTGTCACTGAGTCAGAAGCTCTGTTCCTCCTGCCCTGCAGCAGGTTGCCTGCGGCTCCGGAACAACCTAAAGGAAAGGGTTAGGACGACTCCAGCTCAGCAGCGCGCAGACAGAATGGAGGGGCTCCCAGGACAAGTGGGGTCAGGGTGATGGAGAGCTGGGCAGTCTCCTTATATAGGGGTGGCTTCTGGAGCACATTTGGAGGGAGCGAGGAAGAAGGTGCAGACCGCAGGGGACGCTGTGGGGCGGGTGCGCCTGACCTTTCCCTGCGCGGGAGGTGAGCCATCTCCCGGGCTCCACAGCTATGTCCAGCGGGCGGTGGAAGGACATTTGTCCACTATTCAGATGCTGGATTATATGTAAGTGTTCTGAACTAAAGCAAATCGCTTGGCTAGAGTTTACTAGTAAAAAATGTTAGAAATGGTGCAAAATGAGGCCCCAGAGAGAGAGGTAGGGGCTGTACCACCTTGGGTCTCACAGGCAAGTCTTAGGGTTTGGGTTTTGATTCCAAGAGCTTGGAGAGGTCATGTGACCATCTCCGTGTTTTAGGGTCATTCTTTTCCTTTTCAGAGCCTCAGGTGCTTTATGGGTTGTGAGGAGGGTGAATCGGTCATCAATCTTGTCTACCAAAGCCATGTGTATACTGTATAACTCCTCTTGCCTCCCGTACCTGCTGCTGGCAAAGGGGTTAGTGCACACTGCTTGAGAATGCTTCTGTGGGAGTGAATTTAACCTCACCAGTGCATTCCTGAAGTCTTGTTTTCATTAATCAGAGCTTCCAAGGGGGTTGTCATGAATTGACTTGCTCCAAGGAGGGAAGTCACAGAATTATAGACCCTGATGTTGGAAGCTTCCTTGATGACATCTAGTCTGTTATTTGGCTTTTAAGGCCAAACCCATTCTGCAGAAGCAGCGCTGAAGCCTTGTGTGGCCCTGCCACTTGCGGGGTTACGGAACTCCCAAACCTGGAGAGAATTTTCACCAGAACAGAGTTGAGCCAAACTGATGACAGTTGCTGGGAAGCAAGATCTTAAATGCTGTGGAGAAAGACAGCTCAAATTTGGAATTAAGGAGGGATGGAAGGAAGATTACAGTGGGGTGGGTGGAGAAAGCAAGGCTGGGAATGGATTACAAGATAGTTGAGGATATGTGCTCTCTTGAAGGCAGTTTCACTTATTTCAAAGACGTGTTAGCCTAGATTCACAGAAATGGTGGACAGGGCTTGCGTAAGGCACGATGACCTTTTACTGAAGAAGTTATGTGCCTGGGGCATGACTACCCCCAGGACCTGTCCACTTAGAGATTTATGATCAGATCACCCTGTGGGGTTTTCATAGAACCGCCTCCCCCTTTCACCCACAATATGATGTATACATTATATATGGTAAAATATAATAGTCTATAATATGTACAGTGGCCAGAAAGGTGATGAGATGTGATATGATATAAATAGCATAGATAGTATAATTAATATAATATAATATAATCAGGAAAGAACTTTAGAAGCTATCTAATTCAGCAGCTTCCTTTGACAGAGAAGGATGTGGAGTCCCAGACGGGCTGAGACTCCAGTCCAGGGAGTGATCCAGGTGTCACTAGACCCCCTTGCTTCCAAGTGGTCTTAGTGTCCCATCAGATTCTCCATGACGGCTGTGGAGCTGGCGCTTCTTAGCCGGCAGAGCGCATCTCTCTTCACCGGCGGCAGGGTGCCTGGTGTATGGTACTGGGAGGGCACAAGCAAAAACTCGGACTGTGCTTTGATCTAAGATTAGTGTTTGCTGAGCAACTTCGGCCTTTTCGAAACTTGACTATTCTGAGTTTCAGCCATGTATAGGATCCTCCTCACCTGACCGGAGGGGTACTGAGCATGCTCCAGGGATAGGGAAAATGTTCGGTGGTGTGTGTAGCCCAGAGGCTGTGCTGATTAATTTCATCTACATTTTATATGAACACCATATATATATACATATCATCTCACTGTGCATTGGAGTCTACTTCTAGTTAGCATTTATCACACTGGAATAATATATTTACTGGTCATCTCATTGGGTGGTGAGCTCCTTGTGGGTAAGGGAATGGCCATCAGCAGATTTTCAGTAAATAACCTGAGTGAGTGAATGAATGGACAGAAAATGTCAGCAATGCTAGTAAAACATTGAGAATTGGCATGCCTTATTTTTCATCTTTTTTATAAAGCAGTTAATTTTTTTGTATTGTCAGCACTCTTAGATTAATATGTCAATTGGCTCCTGAAACCTATATACTTTTGTTAACCAATGTCACCCCAATAAAGTCAATAAAAAATACGTTAACTGGTACTGCCTTGCTCAGAGTTGGTCATAAATTTTGTTGAATGAATGAGTATTGCTTGGAATGCGGTATGTTTTTGGCTGAGGAGTTGAAAATTTTCAGATGAAACTTCGGGTAAGCAATGATTCCTCTGGGAATGGACCCACTGAAATTAGAGTTTGTTAAGAAAAACAAAAAACAACCAACACAAGCTCAAATAGGTAAGGGATGTTTGTTCATTTATTAATTCACATGGAGGGGAAGTGGAGGGAACTCTGAAATAATAAAATAACAGATCCATGGTTTTCTTGGTCAAATGAGATCAGAAGTAGGAATGGAAAAGGAAGGGGTAACTTAGAGCAGTAGGTTATTTGTTGTATGGAAATTAAATCAATATTGATTGTTTGCCCTACTGTGATTGGGTGGCTTTATGCCAGAGTGACTAGGAGAAGCAAAATATCTTCAGTTTGGAAGGCAGATTTGAAGGAAAGATGAGGGGTAAGATTTAGACATTCTGAGTTCCAAGCATTAGCGGTGGGGTGCCCTCTGTGTCCCCACCTGTTGTTGGTGGAAGTGGAGTTTTTGGGATGCCACAGGAACAAAACTTTCCTGAGACCCCCATGGGAGGATGAGGTATTGTGGAAAGCTTTATTTCTGTGGAATTAAAACCCTGGGTTTTCAAGGTCCCATCTCCCTTGTCTCACCAAGAAAAAACCCATCTTGTCTTCAGTAGAGCTAGAATTAAAGCCGCTGCCCAGAGCCTTCGCTCCATATTAAAGTCCAGTCCAGTCCAGTCCAGCATCAGGCTAGCTTAGCTTGTGTTCCCAGCTGTGGTCCATAGTGTGTGGGGTCCTCATGGCCATGGGCCATGCAGCTTCTAAGGCCCCATGGTGGGCTAGCGCAGGCCATGGAACAAGCGAGTGCGAGGAAGCAGGAGCAAAGCAAGAGAAACAAGAAAGAGAACTCTTTGTCTCGGAGTTACAACTAGGAGCTTAACTAACGAACATTTCAGGATTTTGTGGGCTTGTAGTGGCTCTGCCCCTCTAGCCAATCATCTTTTTCCCAGGTTAGACTGACAGGCAGCACCTTTCCCTCATCACTCCGACCTCACTATGCATTTCCCCCTTGGTTTGATCTCTTCCCCCAGTGATTTGCAGTGAATGGATTGGTGGTTCCCTGGGGAGTGTGAAGTTGCAGCTTCCTGGTGATGCTGCCCAAAAGACCATGCTTATAATGTCTGGCCTTTGCTTTGCTTTCTTCCAATTATTAATATTAGCTAGCTAATTATGACAATAGCACAGGTGGTGAGAGGACCTATAGATGTGAAGTTGAGCAGGTAGTTGAAGATGGAAAAGATAGTTGCTGGATCTCAGGTTAGGAGCTGTTTCCTCTGGGGTTGTGGGCTAACTTCATGGCTGTGGATGATCTGCAGACTAATGACCATATCCTGGAGGTGTCAGGTTGTGGTGAGAGGGAGACGAGCCCATGTGCCATACATTATGGAGAGGTCAAGGAGAATGACACAGAGGCCACTGGATTTAAGACGCTTGGGAATGGAGAGCAAGGTTTGAGTGGAATACTTGGAATTGGAACCCAGAGTCAACAGCTTTATGATTAAATAAGTGATAAAGAAATAAAACTAGTGAGTGTAGGCCAGGTACAGATTGTGTCCACGTGGTTCTTTCATTGCCTGCTCGTTAATCCTTTTACTTAAGGTCCTGGCAGGGAGATAGAAGGAGGTGGAACTCAAAACTATCCTGTGAGTTCCCTGTTAAGAGACTGGTTATAGGGCTTGGGGGGCATTAGTGTGTGAAACCATTAGCTATTTGGACTCCTATGAGTCAGTTATCGTGAAGGTAATTGAAAATTGCTTGCAACTTTACAGCATCAATGTTACTACATATTACATTTTTACTAACTACTGTTTATTTTTAAATGTCAGTTTCTATGCAGATTTTGGACCTCTGAACTTGGCAATGGTGTACAGATACTGCTGTAAAGTAAACAAGAAACTAAAAGTGAGTACTGTGGCAATGTCTCTGTTTTGGTATTAAAAACAGGACTGGAGATCTGACCAACAAGAGTGCTGTGCACACAGTTAGGTAATTCTGATCTTTGGGCATTTATGTGAGTAGTTCCCGCAGAAGCTGAAACTGATCCTCCTGAGTACCGCACAAAGGACATGTTAACCTCTTTCATTTTTCAGGATGAATTGACATACGAGCTGAGTGAAGTCATTGGAATAGTGATCTAAGAAAGAAAGCATAAAACCTTTTGGATTGTGGATAATGAGCTTATCAAATTCCCTCCCAGGATGATTTTCCGAAACCCTCAGGCCTGCTCTAGACCTGGTTACCAGGGTGAGGGGCTCATGGTTGCTCGATGGAGCTTGGGAGCATACGTTTTTCTGTCTGATCAACAGTTAAATTTTTGCATTTTTCTTGAATGTTGTCTCTGTGGAGTTAACAGCCAAGTAAGGGTGATGAATTAGCAGTCATAGAGCATGGGCTTCACCTGTTATCACAGAATTTGGGTCATACATTCAATGTTCATCTCTATTTTTTTAAAATGTTTTCCTTTATTAACTTTAGAGAGAGAGGAAGGGAGAAGGAGAGAGAGATTGAAACCTCAATGAGAGAGGACATCGATTGGCCGCCTCTTGCATGCCCCCCACTGGGGATTGGGCCCACAACCTGGGCATGTGCCCTGACTGGGAATTGAATCTTCGACCTCTTGGTGCAGGGTCGAAGCTCAACCACTGAGTCACACCCACCAGGTGTTTGTCTCTATTTTTGATTTTACATGTGACTTTCTAGTGTGTGTGTGTGTGTGTGTGTGTTTTGTTTGTTTTGCTTTTAAACTCGAAGCATACATGAGGAAAAGTGACATCTGTATTCCTACTTTTGGTACACTAATTTCATTGCATAGAAATATTTATCTTTTTCTTCCAATTTTCTCAATGAGGATCTTAAATACATTGTTTCAGTTTGGAAGGTGAAATGCTACATAGCATCCTCTTTTTTAAAAAAAACAACAACTATAGTACAGCATATACCAGGATATTTATATACAGTTAAGATACAGAATTAAAAAAAATGTGTTTTTATTGATTTTAGAGAGAGGAAGGGAGAAAGAGAGAGAGAGAAAGAAATCATTAATGTGAGAGAGAAACAATGATCGGTTGCCAGGGATCGAACCCAAAACCTAGGCCTGTGCCCTGCCTGGGAATTGAACTCTAGACCTTTTGGTGCACAGGACGATGCTCCAACCAACTGAGCTACACGGGCCAGAGCAGTGTCCCCTTAAGGATAACTGCTAACTTAGAATGCTCGAGTAGTTTCTTCTTGTGCTGGTCAAACATTCCTGGTGTGACGGTACAGTGCCTTGTCCATATCAACTGCTAGTGATCACCTTTTGCTTTGATTTTTATTGAACTTCGGTATAAAAGACAATCTGTGGTGGAGAATTTCTTGCGAGATATATCATGTATTTATGAATTGACAAATCTTTGCCACTGAGCTCAAAATGCCAATTGGCCATGAAATGACAGCTAAGAGATTATTTAAGTCAATAATCATATAAAATCTTTTGCAATCAACTTCTTAAGGGGTTAATTCGTAAAGTATTGTCTGACTTGAAAAGATGTTTGTAAGTTCCCTTCACTAAGCCCTCCCATTTTTCAGATAAGAAACTATTGCCTTTCATTTAGGAAGTTGATATTTTTGTAATCACCAAGGAAACACAAAATATCCTAACAAGAATTTCCTATAAAAATGTAAAATGGTCCCAGACAGTGTGGCTCACTGGTTGAACTCGACCCATGCACCAAAAGGTTGTTGGTTCGATTCCTGGTCAGGACACATGCCCAGGTTGTGGGCCAAATCCCCAGTGGGGGGTGTGCATGAGGTGGCCAATCGATGTTCTCTCTCATCGATGTTTCTATCTCTCTCTCCTTCTTCCTTCCTCTCTCTAAAATCAATAAAGAAAAAAAAGTAAAATGGGTTCAGTGGATGAACTAACAAGGAAAGGATGATTCATAAATAATTGTAGCCCATTTCTTCCATGGAGGATCTAGGACTTTCTTTACTTTCTTGATTAGTCCTGTTAGTATGTTGTTGGTATGAACTGGATATTATGATGAACAATTTGGGACCCAACTACTACCTGGAATGATCAAAGGGAAAGGAATCATTAGGAAAATAAAATTTTTGACTCAGTGTTCTACTCATAGCAGTTACACAAGCAGGTGGATTGAATAAGACTATTTTTCTACTGTGTTCTATACTGAACAGTATGGGTAAGTGGATACATGGCTTGTGTTGATGTGTTTTCATTTACAAAGCTTTCCTTCAACATTAGGACAGTTTAATAGAGCGCAGACAGCCCCTGGGTTCATTTCAGTGACCAGGCAATCTCTTGGATGCCTGGAATGACACTTCTAGCTTTAGTACAATTAGGGGCACCCTGTTACTTGTTGAAGGAATGCATTTTTCAAAACCCAAAATTTAACAAGTTCTAGGTTATCGCAAAGCATACCAAGTAGAATATCTCTAGTAGGAGAAAAAGACTGATTTTACCCATTTAGCGCTGTGATTGCTTCTGCCTTGTAGAGTCTGCTTCTAGCTCTCAAATAGGGATTATGGAGATCTCCTAGAGAGGACTGCATTAGAAAATACGTGATAAAGAGCTTTATAATTTTAAAGTCCTATACAGAAACAAGTTACTCGTGGACCATTTGTGAATTCTGATGGGAAATCCAGTACCTCCTGGCTGTCATGTCCATGTGAGAAAGCTTTCCCATGCAAGTTTAGGATTAGAAATTACCATGACTTCACAGGTGCAGAGAGGGAGGGAGGCCCAGGAGAGGCATGGGACGTGTCAGGGCTGCAGGGTAAATGGCTCGAACTCAAGACACTTGACAGTAGTGTTCGTGCTCCCTCTCTCCACCATTGGTGTTCTGTCGCCTTCCCATGCTCGCCCACAGCACTGCCTGTCTGATTTCATCTTGTCCCTCTGTGGCCTTGAGGCCCCTCTGCCTCTCTGCACAGTGACAGTGACTATGACTGTCACTCCAGCCTGCTTGCTTCCCAAACCCAGGTCTAGGCTTTCCTACCCTGAACGTACCTTCTTGTCACACATCTCCACGTTCTGTTTCTCATTCATGGCGCCCCCAGACTGCAGGCTCCCTCGAGGCCTGCCGGCTTCTTGCTGCTGTGTCTGGCCTGCAGCCCACGGTCCCCCACTGTAGTTCCCTTCAGGCACCTGGCTTCCATACCTTTGTCTTCTGCCTGGACTGCTCCCACCCTTGGCATCTCTCCCAGTGGGTGATTTCATGCCCTCACTGATTCACGGAGGACGGCAGAGGTGTCCCCACCCTGCCCAGCCTTGCACTTTACCCAGACCAACTGCTGCCCAAGTGCTCCTTGTCCCTTTGCACGTGGTTGGAGGCGCCTCCCTTGTTTTCCTGCAGCTGTCTGAACAGACGCCCATTGCTGGTGAGTTAGAATGACCCGGCTGCATCCGTCTTTCTCACGAGACCATGAGCTCCCAGAGACCTAGAGGACGGGGGCACCCTTAGAATGTCGTGTCCAGTGCCTAGCACAGGGTCACCGAACACACAGAAACGCCCGCTGACCTAACTTACAGGTCCTCTGCTGCCTCCCCGAGCCTGCCCTCAGCGTGTTGACGTCCCTCCGCGCGGGTTCTCCGGCCCTTGCGGTCCGCTGCCGCCTTCTTACTCGGGGAGCAGCTCGGGTGACATCTCAGACGCCCGGTCCGCGCGCGTGTCCCGGCGCTCCCGCGCTTCTCCCGGTCCGCGCGCGTGTCCCGGCGCTCCTGCGGCTCCTGCGCTTCTCCCGGTCCGCGCGTGTGTCCCGGCGCTCCTGCGCTTCTCCCGGCGCTCCTGCGCTTCTCCCCGTCCGCGCGCGTGTCCCGGCGCTCCTGCGCTTCTCCCGGCCCGCGCGCGTGTCCCGGCACTCCTGCGCTTCTCCCGGTCCGCGCGCGCGTGTCCCGGCGCTCCTGCGGCTCCTGCGCTTCTCCTGGTCCGCGCGCGTGTCCCGGCGCTCCTGCGCTTCTCCCGGCGCTCCTGCGCTTCTCCCGGCCCGCGCGCGTGTCCCGGCACTCCTGTGCTTCTCCCGGTCCGCGCGCGTGTCCCGGCGCTCCTGCGGCTCCTGCGCTTCTCCCGGTCCGCGCGCGTGTCCCGGCGCTCCTGCGCTTCTCCCGGCGCTCCTGCGCTTCTCCCGGCGCTCCTGCGCTTCTCCCGGCGCTCCTACGCTTCTCCCGGCCCGCACGCGCGCGCGTGTCCCGGCGCTCCTGCGGCTCCTGCGCTTCTCGGCGGCTCTGGGGTGACCCGGACCCCCAGTTCTGTGTTCTAGCCCCTGCAGGCTCGCTGCATTTTCTACTTGGGACATTTTATTTCTTCCCGTAAACCTTTTATGACTTACTCTCCCATTTTAGCTGCTGCCTTGTGTAGATAGATAATATTTCGCAGTGCATTCTCTTCCCAACCCAAGTTTCCTGTTTTTTCATATGTCAAAGGTATTTTTCCAAGTTGATTTGAGGTGGTGGTTTACTGCTACTTTTGTATGTGTATGTCAGTAGGCATTTTATTCCCAATGGCCTGCATTTTAATTATGTTGATTAGCATGGAAAATATTCTCCAGCAAACATTGGCTTAGATTAAAAAAACAAAAAAACTAGATAAAAACCCCTTTTCTTATTTTAAACTATTCATAAAAAAGTGTAAGTACAAAAGTTATGTAGTAATGGGTTATATTTTGCTATTTCTGGTCAATAGTTACCATAATGAAGGAAATAGAAGAAGGAAGATTTATTGAAGTGAGAACAATTTATAAAACTGTGTATATTGCTTAATGTAGAATGTCATCAATGACTGAGAGGCTGGATCAGCAATGATTAGTCTGATATTTCAGGGGATTCATAAACTCCTGAAATTATGTCAAATTTTGTATGTATTTACATTTTTCTTTAGAGAGGAGTCATAACTTTTTAACAGGTT